TATATATATATATATATATATATTTGAGTCACGTGCAATAACTACTACAGTTTAATAAAGCTCAGTTCAATATTCGCGACGTTTATTTTTTCAGGGCCTTACTGTAATAACGACGTGGACGAATGTGCGTTAATACCAAGTGTTTGTAAGAATGGGGCCACATGTACAAACACGATAGGTGGATATTCATGTATTTGTGTGAACGGATGGACAGGAACTGACTGTAGTGAAAACATTGACGACTGCGCTGGCGCAGCCTGTTTCAATGGCGCCACCTGCCATGATCGTGTGGGATCATTTTTCTGCCAGTGTGTTCCAGGAAAAACAGGTATTTTAAGTTGTGTTTATCAAAGTGTTGTTATCCTTAATATCAAAGGTTCCGATTTGTTCTTTAATAAAACTTTAAACTCTAAATTGTGGATTAAACAAGATTAACTGTCTGTAATCTGGATTAACGTAAAAACTAAAACAAAGGCTTTAGTATAAACATACGAGTGAAAGCAAAGAAGAATCTATTATAACTTGTAAACCAAACTACATCTGCCGTATCCAGTGCCGACGAGGCCTTTCGGATAATACCACGGCTCGCCAGGCAGGCTTAGATACGCTATTTATATCATCAATTTTCGTTAGGTCTGGCATGGCCGAGTGGTTAGGGCACTCGATTCGCAATCTGCTGGTCACAGGTTCGAATCCCCGTCCCACTAAACATGCTTGCCTTTTCATCCGTGGGGGCGTTATAATGTGACGATCAATCCCACTATTCGTTGGTAAAAGAGTTGGCGGTAGGTGGTGATTACTAGCTGTCTTCCTTCTTGTTTTTCACTGCTAAATTAGGGACGGCTAGCCCTTGTGTAGCTCTGCGCGAAATCACAAACAAACAATTTTCATGAACGAGTTAGATTAAGCAAGTGAATTATAATTATTATCAAGTTAACGGTGTTATTCAAAATGAATCCCAGGCCTACTGTGCCACCTGGATGACGCATGTGCAAGTAACCCGTGCCACACTGGTGCCATTTGCAACACCGATCCCACAGACGGAAGTTACCGTTGTTCGTGCCCTAGCGGCTTTCAAGGGAACGACTGTACCGAGGATGTGAACGAATGTAAAGAAGGTAAGATATTTCAAAACGTTTTTATTAAGTTACCAATGTTGTTAGTTACACGCCCTCTATTAATATGTGACTAAAGCTTATGACTATGTTAGTTACACGCCCTCTAT